TAAAGTCCGTATATAATTTGTTAGGACTGCAAGTGCCAGGCTTAGAACTCGTGCCTGTCAAATTAGAAGCGATGACTAATTGTGTTTATCCACAAGAAGCCAAGGCTGCACAAACTTTCAATGCTCAAGTTCCAGGTTTTATTGTCACTTATTTTTATTTAATTAGTGACACCAACCAAAGCACTTGCCGTGCTTTAAATTAGAACGAGCTTATAAACTACAGCTTTATTTTTGGAAACACAAGTTCAACGAATTGAAAGTTAAACTTTTGGCTTGCCTATTTTTGTTTCAAAGCTATTCTTTTTGTAGAGACATCTGTTATGCATATTTTTTTAACTTACTATATGTAAAGCGCCTTTTTTGGGTGCAATTTTACAAAGAAGCTATGCAAATGTTTCTCTACAAGTTCGCTAATCACGTTAAGGAAAAGCTGAACAATATTATTGTTCATATATCCTATAATTCTAATTTTTAAGGTAAATTTTTTTTTTTTTTTTGCCGATAATGGTGTGTCTTTTTATGACGAAAGAAACTATTTAAAAGTTAGACCGATTCGAATAGCAAAGAAAGGCAAAGACAAAAGTTTTTTATTTAATTTATTGAAATTTGGCTGACCATACAACGCTGTTTCGAGTATTGCCAAGTACTCTTCATCAGTGGTCTTTGGAAATAATCGAATTTTTATTTAATTAGTTTATAGTCCGTATATAATTTGTTTGGACTGCAAGTGCCAGGCTTAGAACTCGTGCCTGTCAAATTAGAAGCGATGACTAATCGTCTTTATCCACAAGAAGCCAAGGCTGCACAAACATTCAATGCTCAAGTTCCAGGTTTTATTGACACTTATTTTTATTTAATTAGTGACACCAACCAAAGCACTTGCCGTGCTTTAAATTAGAACGAGCTTATAAACTACAGCTTTATTTGGAAACACAAGTTCAACAATTTGAAAGTTAATCTTTGAGCTTGCCTATTTTTGTTTCAAAGCTATTCTTTTTGTAGAGACATCTGATATGCATATTTTTTTAACTTACTATATGTAAAGCGCCTTTTTTGGGTGCAATTTTACAAAGAAGCTATGCAAATGTTTCTCTACAAGTTCGCTAATCGCGTTAAGGAAAAGCTGAACAATATTATTGTTCATATTTCCTATAATTCTAATTTTTAAGGTAAATGAAATTTTTTTTAAGTTCATGTTTTTAAGAATAGATTATATATCATTTGTTTTAGTGTAGAAGAATGAAATATTAAAGGAAATTTGTTTGAGGTTCGACTTTTCAAATATAGATTGTATATCAATTGTTTTGGTGCAAACTAATTAAAGAAGGAGTAAGTGAAATTTATTCTAACTTCATGTTTTGAAGAAATATTATATATTATATATCAATTGTTTTGGAGCAAAATATATAAACAGATTAAAGGAAATTTAAGGAAGTTTAAGGTCCAACTTTTGAAATATAGATTGTATATCAATTGTTTTGGTGCAAATTAATTAAAGAAAAAATAAATGAAATTTGTTTTAAGTTCAAGTTTTGAAAAATAGATTAAATATCATTTGTTTTAGTGTAGAAGAATGAAATATTAAAGGAAATTTGTTTGAGGTTCAACTTTTCAAATGTAGATTGTGTATCAATTGTTTTGGTGCAAACTAATTAAAGAAGGAGTAAGTGAAATTTATTCTAACTTCATGTTTTGAAGAAATTTTATATATCCATTGTTTTGGAGCAAAATATATAAACAGATTAAAGGAAATTTAAGGAAGTTTAAGGTCCAACTTTTGAAATATAGATTGTATATCAATTGTTTTGGTGCAAATTAATTAAAGAAAAAATAAATGAAATTTTTTTTTAGTTCAAATTTTGAAAAATAGATTAAATATCATTTGTTTTAGTGTAAAAGAATGAAATATTAAAGGAAATTAGTTTGAGGTTCAACTTTTCAAATATAGATTGTATATCAATTGTTTTGGTGCAAACTAATTAAAGAAGGAGTAAGTGAAATTTATTCTAACTTCATGTTTTGAAGAAATATTATATATTATATATCAATTGTTTTGGAGCAAAATATATAAACAGATTAAAGGAAATTTAAGGAAGTTTAAGGTCCAACTTTTGAAATATAGATTGTATATCAATTGTTTTGGTGCAAATTAATTAAAGAAAAAATAAATGAAATTTGTTTTAAGTTCAAGTTTTGAAAAATAGATTAAATATCATTTGTTTTAGTGTAGAAGAATGAAATATTAAAGGAAATTAGTTTGAGGTTCAACTTTTCAAATATAGATTGTATATCAATTGTTTTGGTGCAAACTAATTAAAGAAGGAGTAAGTGAAATTTATTCTAACTTCATGTTTTGAAGAAATATTATATATTATATATCAATTGTTTTGGAGCAAAATATATAAACAGATTAAAGGAAATTTAAGGAAGTTTAAGGTCCAACTTTTGAAATATAGATTGTATATCAATTGTTTTGGTGCAAACTAATAAAAGAAGGAGTAAGTGAAATTTATTCTAACTTCATGTTTTGAAGAAATATTATATATCAATTGTTTTGGAGCAAAATATATAAACAGATTAAAGAAAATTTGTTTGACGTTCAACTTTGGATTGTATATCAATTGTTGTGGTGCAAATTAATTAAAGAAAAAATAAATGAAATTTTTTTTAAGGTCATGTTTTGAAGAATAGATTAAATATAATTTGTTTTAGTGTAGAAGAATGAAATATTAAAGGAAATTTGTTTGAGGTTCGACTTTTCAAATATAGATTGTATATCAATTGTTTTGGTGCAAACTAATTAAAGAAGGAGTAAGTGAAATTTATTCTAACTTCATGTTTTGAAGAAATATTATATATTATATATCAATTGTTTTGGAGCAAAATATATAAACAGATTAAAGGAAATTTAAGGAAGTTTAAGGTCCAACTTTTGAAATATAGATTGTATATCAATTGTTTTGGTGCAAATTAATTAAAGAAAAAATAAATGAAATTTGTTTTAAGTTCAAGCTTTGAAAAATAGATTAAATATCATTTGTTTTAGTGTAAAAGAATGAAATATTAAAGGAAATTAGTTTGAGGTTCAACTTTTCAAATATAGATTGTATATCAATTGTTTTAGTGCAAACTAATTAAAGAAGGAGTAAGTGAAATTTATTCTAACTTCATGTTTTGAAGAAATATTATATATCCATTGTTTTGGAGCAAAATATATAAACAGATTAAAGGAAATTTAAGGAAGTTTAAGGTCCAACTTTTGAAATATAGATTGTATATCAATTGTTTTGGTGCAAATAAATTAAAGAAAAAATAAATGAAATTTTTTTTTGTTTCAAGTACAAGTTTTGACGAATAGATTTTATCAAGTGTTTTAGTGCTGACGAATTAAGTGGTTGAGAAAAATCACGTAAAATTTAAGTTACTGAAAGGAATTTATATATCATTTGTTTTAGTGCTGAAGAATGAAATATGAAACATAATTTTTTGAGAATCAAGTTTTGAAACATTGATTGTGGAAGAGACATTTTGAACGAACTCTGAATATAGTACATGGCGAACCGATGAATTTGTAATACGAAGGAGGCTTAACCCTATTTGGGCAATAAGCATCAGTGCTGTATCAGTGGAAGAAATCAAGAAAGCTTTCGTATTACTGAAGAATTGTAAAGGAGCAGGATACGATGGACTTCGTCCAGAATATTTTAAAGTATTCGCTGCGATATGGCTAGAGTCCTCCAGCATTGCTGCTAATAGTAATGAAAATCTTCAACAAAATTATTTTGGAGTGAATAGCTATGATCTATATAGTACTATATGTAGCTCCCATTCTGACTCAAGAGAGATTACATATGACAATCATATGAATACCGCCAAAAATGGTCAGAATCCTCAAAAATAGCTACGATAGAATAAGATTCAGAGTTTTATAAAATGGTGAACTTAGCGATAGTTTTCAATCAATAAGTTGATTATGTCAGGTTTGTGCATTATCATCTTTAGTGATTATCACTGTTCTCGGCACGATTTGAGGCACTAAATGAAAACGCACGTGACATTAATTGCAGATTTAACCAAAATTTGAGTCCTTTAGAGTACGCTGATGACATAGTGCTCATTGCCGGCAGGATCTCCGATATGCAAGCAAGTATTACGAATCTAAGTAATGAATTGAGTAAAGCCAGCCTGAACATTAACATAATGAAGACTAAAACAACGCGCATAAATACAGCAATCAGAATAGCCCATTTGTGAACAATAATGTCTTAGAGAAAGTCCAGAGGCACGAGAATTGCTGCAGTGTTGTTGGTACTGATGGTGGAGCCATCATGGACATTGAATACCGTCTACGAAAGGAAAAAAGCATATTTGCGCAACTTAAGAAAGTATGGGTATCAAGTGCAATAAGTTTTAAGACTTAGTTAAATATTTTTAATGCAAGCGTCAAAACGACTCTCTTATACAGCTGCCAGAAATAGTTTACCACCAAAACAAATATTAAGAAAATATAAGCGTTTATAAACAGAAGTTTGAGGCACATTACGCACATTACGGTGGCCAGCAACTATCTCGAGTTCAGAGTTATGGAGAAATGTAGAACAACTTTCAGTGGAAGAAGAAATCAAAATGCGTAAATATTGATGGCTAGGCAACACGCTTAGGGGCCCAATCAATAATATCTCTCATGCTGTACTGGAGTACAATCCACATGGCCAACGTATGAGAGGTCGTCCTAAATTAACATAGAAGAGAACGATTGCGAGCGAAACGAACAAAACGATAAATAAATTTTGTAAATATACTAAGTTTGTGCTTCACTCTATGTAAATTACAAATATACTATAATAATTTCAAATTAACCAAAGAACTGATTTAAAATGTATGATCAGGATTTGAACAGCTTTGTAAATAATACAGTTTCTATGACTAAAATTTATTTTGAATAATAGTATTATTTAATTATCTTTTGATACCGAAAAAAACACTCCATGCCATGAATTACTTTTATTTTCTTTATATATAATGGAATTGTTAGCCAGACGACTCCACATACTCATGACATATAAGAATACATATTTACAATTTTACAATTTAGGTTTAAACTTTAACGTACCTATTATGTAAAACTTTTAGCACATTCGCTAAATTCCAATTCGTAATATTAAATCCACTTTCTGTTACATTCCACCCACCAATTTTCCAAAGAAGATCAGTTAGAGGTTTCGCGCCCAATTTCTCCATATGTTCATCTTTATCCAAACAAGACTCGTAATATACTTTCGCTTTCCTTTCTGCATCTGATTTAAAATATTTTAAAGGTTTCTCTAGCTCATTTCGTATGACCAATTGATTTATTTGTTCTAATTTACTGAATGTACCCCATGTCGACTTTCCTTCTGGTATCGGATTGGTATTGATCCATTGATTACTATTTAATAAAAACAAAATGGTGATTATGACATAGAAAATAAAAATAAAACAAAATTAACATACCACGCATAGGCGTAAAAATCTTCACATGGATTTATAGATATATCTATCGATTTTAATATTTCGTTCGCCGCAAATATACAGTGATCGCTTAAACATGGCAGTCTATCTGGATAAAATACACAATTTTAATGCATTACTCATGTAAATACATAGCCACAATATAATTTGAAGCATTTATATTCAAGTATTAGATAAACTAAAAAAGCATAGTTCTAAATTATGAGGGTTTTATTTAATTATGAACAGTATAGAAATTTGTTCCACTCCTTATTCGTATTTTCACTATAGCATGTATATACTTTGTATATATATAATTCTATAAATGCATATTAAGGTGCATATAAAATATCCTTGAATGGCTAACGTACAATGTTGTGAATATACCTTTTTTATTCCCATCATTGACTTTAGCCATATCCAAGCAGCCAGACTGCTGCAACATGAAACCTCACTTTAGTGAGATAATAAAGTGTATACATGCTCCTCTGCTGTGTTAGTGCTTGCCGGCGTACTAACACAATTATGTAGTTGCTAGTTTTTAGCGCGGTGCAGACTATCATACTGGTATATCATACGAGAGAGAAAAACGTCATATGACACACAGGTATGATAGTCTGCACCTCTTACCAACATGTTGGCGGGCTCACCAAATGCGAGAGCAGCTCTCGCATACGTGTTGTGTATGATAGTCTGTCACCTCTAACGATTCATACGTCATACAAAAGCATTTTTGCTTTGCAAAATTATTGTAAGCAGGCGATATACATATGTAAAATTTTAATATAAATTTAATACGTTCTTTTATTATTTTATTATTAATGTATTTATTATTATTATTTATTATTATTAAAATTACACTTATGAATTTGTGTTAAATATTTAATTGTATTTTAATTAAAAAAAATATAAAAATTAAAATACAATTAAATATTTTATTTAATTTATTAAATATTGTATTTAATTTTATTTTAATTTATAAACGATGATTGTAAGTAATTTGTTATTTAAAAAAACATCTAAATTAGTTAGTAATTAAAAAACGTGTAGAAAATTGGCCGTAGTAATAATTAATTAATAACCTAAATTTAAGATACAATACTCTGTATTTTAAATATGCTTTTCTCTGTTAAAACTTATTAAAATAAAAGAATTTTAAATGAAGACAATGAAGATTTGTACATTAGGGTGCCACTAAGGTGTATGGGCAATTTTTTTTCGTAAAAACGGTTGACGGCACCCCCCAGATCGGTTCATTTTACTTAAAAAATAATCTGTGTGAAATTTTAGTTCAATTGGATAAGTGAAAATGGTGCCCCAAGAGCCTCAAAGATTGGAAAATAACGATTTTTTCCATAAAATTCATCTTTAATTGCTTATATCTCCGACAGATTTAATTTTACAACTATGGTATCGCAGCTAGTTGATGTAGTCTTTGGCCCCTCAAAAACGCCTGCCTTTCGTACATCGTATCGTCCGTTGCTTTTGGTTTTTGTTACTTCGTATGGACCCAAATATTCATTTATTAATGTTTTACCTGGAATAAATTGAGTACGTTTAATGGCGACCAAGTCGCCTGCTTTATATATCCGCTCTTCTTTCCGCTTTCTATCAAATGTTTTTTTATATTCTGCTTGGACCTCTTCAATTTGTTGTTTCGCATGTTGTCGGAGTATATTGCGTTCTTCGTCATATTCTTGAATCAATTCATCCTCTATTGCTTGTTTTATGGAGTTGTACCCGCTGTTCTTTCGCATTTTTATACCAAAAAGGATATCAAACGGTGAATATCTCGTAGTTCGATGAATTACATTATTAATAGCGCTTTGCACGTCTCCCACAAAACGATACCATTGATGAGGAGACTCCCATGATAATTTAGAAATAACGTTGATAATTGTTGACCCTTTCAATTTGGCCGTTACCCCTTGGAACGCCTGTTGTTGTTAGGATATGTTTGATCTGCGCTGCTTTACAAAATTCTACAAACGCATTTGATGTAAACGCGGCGCCCTTATCGCTCACAATGCGAGTTGGATTTCCAAATATTTTAGTCAACAATTCAAGTTTTGTTATTACTTCCTCAGCCCCAGTAGACCTTGTCGGATAAAGCCACACAAACTTGCTAAAGCCATCGACCATTGCGAAAATATACTTATATTTCTTTGACGTAGCATCCATCGGTCCTAGGTGATCTACATGTAACGTACATAATGGAGTATCGCCTTTATCAATCGTATGTAGTAATCCCTCTAGCTTACCCTGCTTTTTGTTGTACAAAATACATTTGACACAGTTTTTGATTAATTTATCAACTTTTTGCTCTAGATGCGAAATATAAAATTGCTGCTTGATTTGGTATGCCGTTTTCATAACTCCAAAATGACCTTGGTCATGAGAAGTTTTTATCACCTCTCTTTCCATCAGTCGTGGAATCACCAATAAAGTTTGTCCCTCTGTTTCCTTGAACAACACGTTGCCAATCATCTTGTAGTCCATATATTGCTTTGTTCTCAAAATTTGTATTATAGCGCTGAGATGTTCATCGGTTTTTTGCGCTTTT